TTATCACTATGATCACTATTATTGCTGCCGCTCTGCTGCCACTGCTATACTGTTATTACTATTTTGGATCACAGTACAGTTACTACAAACACTCATTATTACGATTACGATTGATTATTACTACAATTATTATTATTGCCACGCATTATTATTATTATTTTTAAGCAATATCAAATGCATTTTAATATATTTTCATTTTTATATGCAATAAGAAATGTACTATATATTTGGTTTAATAACTCGTTTGTGTTGTCACTTGTTTTTCTAGTCCACCTATCACATCCTCAACGAAAAGAAAAGTAGATTAGAGAAGAGTTTATATTATGCTTATTGTTTATGTTAAACGAGACGCCACTTTCACCGAAATTGTGAATATAGGAGAGTTATGTCGTCGAACGTTAATACCGAGAAAATGATTCCTTTTTTTCTTTCAGCGGGAAGGTAAGTGACACAAATGCGATTTGGCGTTTCTATTCTCCGAGCGTTTGGTTAACGTATGTTTTTACAAGCATTATTAAGCAACTACGATGTCCCGCAGGTATTGCAGCGTTCGAATTTTTGAATTTTTCATTTCGAACGCTGTGGTACTTCTCGCAAGTGACTGGAATCCAGCTGATATCGACGTTAAACACGATTCTTCAACATCTGAAACATGATTCTTCAAAACCGCAATCGAACACAGTCGATTTCCGTGTGTCAATGGAGAATCGATGTTTTACCCTGTAATCCTGTCGTATTCGGTAAACCTTGCATTCGCGGTGACACGATAAAAAACTGGAACACAAAATAAATATGTGACAAGATATGAGAAATAAAGTACACAAATGTACTATAATGCTATATAAAGCAATTAACAATATTATAATTGCCATTAAAAAGCATTGAGAACTCATTCGCGCGGTATTGCGATTGAATTAATGATCAGAAATGACGTGTGTCGAGCATAAATGATTACTTTTAATGTTTTTAATATAATATAAATTGTACATACCTATATATTTTTTATTCAACACTAAAAGTAGAACAGGACCGCTTATATGAATACACTACGCAAAAAAATTAAGGGACCACTTTTGAATCTTGCAAATTTCGTCAATTTTGAGAAACTAATATCTTGGTTTCCAGGAATCGCAGACCATTCTTTCTTAGCGCGTTTTAAAGGGTAAAGCTTCTACTTTAAAATGGCCCGAGTGAAATGTTTCGTCCCATTAAACTGTTTTTTTTTTTTTTCCGTGAAAACCGAAAGCAGAGAGTGTTAGTCTTGAAAGTGTCATGATATTGCAGCCTTTCACGGGCAAAGCAACGACGAGACGAAAAATGTCACCACATCAGTTTTGAAGCCGAGAACATTCCTTTTAAAGTGAGATAATGTAAATTGTTCCAGCCCGCCTATATAGGAACTGAGTTATCAGGTTCCAAAGTAGACCCTATTTTTTGCAAGATTTTGTTTAAATACCGCAGAGAGGGTTTGGAGTCATTAAATACCACGGGAGTGACGATGATATGCAAACTCCGAGCGAGCAACCTCCTCGTGATGCACATCGGATAACGCGAATGCCGGTAGTATTTAACTAAATCTTGCAAAAAATAGGATCTACTTTGGAACCTGATAACTCAGCTCCTAGGCAAGTTAGAACAATTTTCATTATCTCATTTTAAAGGAAATGTTTTCGGCTTCACAAAACTGATGTGGTGACGTTTTTCGCCTCGTCGTTGCTTTGCCCGTGAAACGTTGCAATATCATCTTCAAGGCTCTAACACTCTCTGCTTGGTTTTCACGGAAAAAAAAAACAATTTAATGGAACGAAAAATTTCAGTTAAGCTATTTTAAAGTAGAGGCTTTACTCTTTAAAACGCGCTAAAGAACAATGTTCTGCGATTCCTGAAAGCCGAGATATTAGTCTCTCAAATCGACAAAATTTGCAGATTTTAAAGTGCTCCCCTAATGTTTTAGTAGGTTTTATTAACTAAATAAGAAACGCCAAATACAGTTAAATTTAGATGTTGGAGAGATTAATACATCATCTATACGTATTTAAACATCTCGTTATGTGACCACGCGCCGATTACTTTTGTGAACTTGCAATACAATTAAACTGAAATAATGATAATCCTCACAAATTGAATTAGATCTTCGATTTGGTATTACTAGCACCTTAATTTTTCTATTCCTCATATCTTACTCTTTATTTTTTGTGTGTTTTGGCTTCATAAGACGCACGTTGATAATCAGGACATATTCTTGAACCTACATCTATATCGCATATAAAGGACGCGCTGCCGTGAGGAGTACGAAGTAAGAACGATTCGTATCATCGATCAGAAAGCACCCGACACTGATTTCCGGTTTGAAGCTGTCTCTCGAATGAAATATCTTTTCCCCACCATGAGTATCTTCGGAGAAAGAGAGAGAGAGAGAGAATGTGTGTGTGTGTGTGTGTGTGTGAGGGGGAAAGAGAGTGTGAGGGGAGAGAGAGAGAGAGAAAGAGAGAGAGAGAGAGAGAGAAAGGGGGAAAGAGAGTGTGAGGGGAGAGAGAGAGAGAGAGAGAGAGAAAGAGAGAGAGAGGAAACCTTTGTATAAGCGGAAAGTTTTTGTCGCGTGTCGAGTGCAAGGACGGTGAGTAGTTGGAAGGAGGAAGTGCATATCGCGGAAAATCGGAAAAACGAGGAGCCAAAACCGGAGACTACCCTACCGAGATTACCTCGTTCACGCGATCGTATAACGAATACGAGGGGGATCGATTTCGTAAAAAGTCGCCACGAAGCTCGCTAAAGTCACGCATATTTCAATTACGTTTACGTTTATGTTCCACGTTTATTTGTTTATAGTTGATTTCGAGTTGCATGCTTTAAATGTCATCCAGAATGCTCAGTGTACCTGTACTCTCTCGTCGTCTCGTTTCTCATGTCTGTTAGACTTCGTGTACACACACATCTGAGATCCGTCGAACAATGTAACATGCATATTCATAACGCGAGTCGGCAAATACGACTTGTGTATTACGCATTCCACTTCTCCATTGGAAGACAAATACAAATTTGCGGTTTCATATATAGGCATTCCCGTTCCGTCCAATAAATGATTCCTCTTTCATCTCTTGTCTCTCATCCTTATATCTTCCCCTTACAAATTTTTATTGTAGTCATTTATTTTGCCAAGTGATGTTATTTAAGATATTTTAAAGTGAAATTACATTTTCAGCAAAACGATACATTGCTAGGATCTTGAATGATTAATAACGAAAATTATTCTAAGGTAATTATGGATTAAATTATAATAAAAACAAAAAAACATGAAATATTAAAAATAATACCAGGTAACGCATGTAAGACAACGTAGATTAACTACATATTATAGTTTCATATAACAATGCAATAAAATCTATTATGGCATTAAAATGCGATAAATTCTCGTTCGTCGAATATTTGATGAATGATCGTCTGGAGTCATTTTGAGCACATATATCGAGAATATGTGTAGCGCACATGAAATATGAACATCCATGACCGCAATAACGCAACTCTCTCGAGCCACCAGAGCGCAACGATTTGTACAATATCGCGCGTTAACGACAATAGAGTCGAATTCCTCGTATGAAAGAGAAATTAAACGCACAAGTTCTATAAAAAAAAAAAAAAAATTAAATAAAATAAAATAACGCCATTAAAGCCTTCTTTTCCCCGCAATTTCCTCTCGTGAACGCACACATTCATACGTGGTATACACGTGTCCGAGACATTTCGGCGTGCATCCATCCCCCGAGTGTGATCCAGCGTGTACTTGCGTGTGCGTATGTCAGCTGTTTTATGCATGTGCGTGCGCCTCTTGTCCCGTTCTCTCTTTTCGCATTAGCAGCGACCGGAGTTCCGAAGAAGGCCGGGGAGAGAGGAAAGTCGCCTATTAAACAAAGTTCTTACTTCGCTCCCCACGAAGAGAAACAGTACGTCGATTCCTCCACATCTCTTCGGGTTTCTCCCTCCCCCCTTTTTTTTTGTTTTCAAGAACGTGCCGTAACGCGCGTAATTGCTTCTCTAAAGGACGCGAGTCTCGGGTTTTTAATGGATTGATTAATGCGCGAAGCGTGAGATCTACAGTAGGGGAAAAAAAAATGGAAGAGGAAGAAGACGACGAAGAGGCGAGGCAGATCGTAGCAGCAAGAAAAGTGTTGATTTCCCTCATAGTTACGTGTGTTGATCGTCGGATTTGCGAAATTAATCTATTAGACATTTCTCTCCAATAATCTTTACGGCTGTAAGTTGAAAATGAATCCGCGCGCGTACGCATCGTTCATTCGAATTCTTTACGAGCGCGATGTAAGAGGATTAAGATTCACCGCGAGGATGTTTGCAATGATTTATCGCACGAGAAAAAAGATTGAGTAAAATTTTTTTTTGCTAGAAAAATATTAACGACATACAATTATTTAAGCGTGAGATACTCACGATAATTTCACATCAATTTAATAAGAATCTACTTGTTACAAAATATCGATCGCAACAACACCGTTCTACGATTTCTCAAGATACGAGCTTTAAATAGATTATTAGCGCCTACCGTTTTCGAGCCGACACGGAAGAGCACCGTACGATCGACGCGATCGAGATCACGTAAGCACAATCGAGAGAATACAAGCACTAAAGTAAAAGGAGCATTCGAGCGAGATTCGCGTGTTCGCGGCCGTTCTTTTTTTTTTCTTTTTTTTTTCTCTCTCTCTTGACGATCGTGGTATAGGGTTTAAGTGTGTTGTGGGGGTGTGCAGCTGCATGAGAGGTGCGTTGTTGTGTTTCAGTGCTCACCTCTATGACGGGGCTGACCTTGAACTCTCTGAACACCCAGTCAGCGAAGAAGTTGTTCACCTGCCAACTGTGCGGCAAGGTACTATGCAGCAAAGCATCCCTGAAACGCCACGTTGCCGACAAACACGCCGAACGACAGGAGGAGTACAGATGCGTCATCTGCGAGCGGGTATACTGCTCGCGTAATTCCCTGATGACCCATATATATACCTATCATAAGAGCAGGCCCGGCGACATTGACATTAAGTTCTTTTGAAGGTTTAGATAAGGTAGGGACCACGCTAAAACACACTTATGGCGCACAGCATATTTCGAGGATCTTTAACATGGTTTTTCAAAACTCACCCCTATACGACTTAACAAACACAAGACACGTTTCCTTCTCTCTCTCTCTCTCTCTCTCTCTCTCTCTCTCTCTCTCTCTCTCTCTCTCTCTCACTCTCTCTCTCTCTCTCTCCCTCCTCTTGCTCTTTTATCCTTTCTCTCTCTCTTTTTTTTATTCTCTTCTTGTATACATATTCGCAAATACATACCGAAGCTCGCACGCTTGTTTCCCGGATCGCGCCTCCTTGAGAGATTCATTTTGCATTTTCAATTTTTTTTTTTCGCGCGCTGCCGAAATTCGCGCATTGCCGAACGATGCAAGATCGGCTTCCGTCCAACTCGGTCGGGTGACCCGCCACGGAAAGCTTGCGTTTCCTTTTCCTCCTTCTGCGTTCCGCAGCCGGCACTCCCGCGAATGGTGCATGCCACGGCGAGAAACCGGTCTCGACTTGCACACGGGGGCCTTCTTTCTCTTCTTATTCGTCTTACGGTCCGAGTCTCGCGCACCACATCGTGTCCGCATCCCGGCTCGCGTAACTGCTTTCTTTCCTTTTATCCCGTCGTCCTTCGCGCCCCTTCAGTACCGTACGCGCCGTTGATCGAGTTCTTCCGGTATTCACCGGTCCGTTATACCTGCTGTCAGTGACTCGAATCCCACGATGCATCAGTAAAGCAGCATGCCGCCTAGCTACATCCACGCACAGCAAATACAAGGGTTTTTTTTTCTTTTTTTTTTTTTCAAAAACTCTACCAAAGAGGCAGAAGAAATCTAGAAAGTTGAGCGAGAGACGTTTCGAACTCTTTCGATGCTTCATCATTTCTTTTTGAACTTTTCACTATCTTTGGGGTCATTAAAGTTATTTATATAACAAAAAGATTTCGCATTTTAACCGTGACCTTATATATTGTACGTAATAAACCGAGTGATATTGTTTTTATATTGCCCTCTCGTAAATATTGCTACTATCATTGCTGTTATAATTATCATAGGGTAAAACAATCTATCACATAACGTTACAGTTGGAGTGTTAAAGACATAAAAATTCTCTTATCTCTCTGTAGATAACTTTGATATTTATCTGTAACATTATAAAGGGAATTGATATCATCAAAGTCATTACACGATACTGAAAACGTTGAAAATTGTCTTTTAGTATTTTGCATATTATTAATAATTCCGTTAAATCTTGTTATTTTCTTGGAATAACATGATAGTTAGCTTTCTGATGCTAGGAGAGTCATATATGAACAGACAGATGGACACGGTAAATTTAGAAACTTTTTTTGGGTACTAACATATTAAAAACGATTTATCAATTTCGATAAGAAGACTTAAATTGATCTATGACTTTTTTAATTCTTTTCTGTTTATATGTGATATTCGCCATACTTTTCTGTTTCGTATCTCCTCACGATCTCTTCTCTTTCAAACTATCGACTTACTCATTCATCTATTCGGTTCGTTGCTTGCTTGTTTGCATGTCCACCTGATTGTCCGCTTGCTGTCTGCTTGCTTGTAGCTTTGGCTACGTGTTTGTCTTGATTCGTATTTCTTGATTATTTTTCGATGTTTTTACTGTTGAATCTTTGCGTCTTATCGGAAGAATATTACCGATACAGCGATACGGTGGGAAAGATGTGAAAAGCAATCGGCAATTTGACGCAACTGCCACGATTGGCAAAAATTGCACGTTTCGCGAGAACGTTTAAAATTTAATTGTAATTGTACATCTTTCAACGGCATAAGGCAAAAAATATGAATGTAACCTTGAAGTTTATTTAATATTTGTATGTTTTTTGGTATTTCATTTTACGTTCATTGGATGATTTTTTTTTCTGATTATTAGCATTTTATTTTTGCTTTTCCGTCGTCATCTTTTATGGATTCGGAAACCGATACGAAATCACCCCTTTTTAGACGAACATCGAGTATATTGTAAGCATTATTGTAAGGTTTCTTAACGCAGAATAAATTTATTAAATTAAACGCCACGTAAATATTTTACTTGTGCGATCGCGAAATCTCGAGACTGCTCGCGTTTTAATCTTTGACCACATGTCTCTGGAGATTTATAATAGATCCGATTAATAAGAGAACTAACGATTAAAGCAGCGTGTGCTCAATTTTTAGCACGTGCATAATATGTCGTATACTCATAATTTTTATCAGCGAATTGGTTCTAATACGCTAAAGCATACTAATCGCTAGCTCGATGCACGCGGTATATAATGCACAGACACAGAGCCTTTTTCTTTGTTCCTTCTCTCATTTCTTCTTCCTCGATCGGAATCTTTTGGCGTCTCGTGTCCCATTAGACACTCGATAAAACTCATAAGAGTAGAAAAGGAATGGTTACTATCTAACAAATTTATCCTTCTAATTTATTTATACGGAGCTTTGCAATTTGCACACAACTCCGCATTATTCTGAATTCTTCTCTTTTCAAATGCAATAAAACTGTAATGAGTCAGAGTTGGTGATTCCAAGTACATTTTTTTAATACTAATTTACATAATGTACATACATGTATGATTTCTGCGCTATATTATTGTCCAATGGACATTTTTCATTATTTACATGTACTATAAAAAAATGTGTATATTTATAAAATTAAGCGCGATATATAAATTAGAAGAATCGAAGAAGTGAAGGTTATTTAATCAAAGCGAATCTTGGTGTCTAATAATATTTTTGCATGAATTTACAATTATACGAACTGCGCGCACCGATTATTTCAGTTTCGAAACACAGTTCTAAACATTTCAAAATTATCAAATAATCGGCGTACAGTTCGCATAAATTGGAAATTGTAAAATTCACGGAAAAATATAATATTATTGAGCAGCATGATTCGAATGTAAGGCCTTCGCTTCTTCGCTCATTTGTTATTTACATATAGATTGATTTTCTACTAATTATCAATGTAAATTAGTTGTGGTGATGGTGATTTAAACGAGATTGATCAACTTTTCCAAACTTTTAGAGCTGTTTCCAATTCGTTCAAAAACAATTTATTGTTATTATTATTATTATTATTATTGCTTTCAAGATAAATCTAGCTTAGCCTTCGTGAGACATGGAAATACTAGCTCTGAGCGATCTAACAATCGATGCATTTGATCGATGTGTCATCACTATGATGGTCGATCCTATAACATCTATAAGCCATTAGAATTTCGACGACGTCGATCTCTCACGTGCTGTATACGCGAGAGAAAAAGTGCATCTTATATACGTCGACGTTCTTAGCGAAATGTAAAGCTCTCTATTTCTCGTGTCCACAGCATCAGATGAGAAATCAACTCTCGTTAAAATTATACCGGTTTCGACGTATGTGTCGAATCCTCCCGGACGGTGGATAACTCCTGCCAAAGAACAGTTTTATACAGATCTGAATGCGTTTCAGGTACGGGCAACGGGATGCATCCGGCACCGACGACGCCTCCCACTGTCATGTACCGAATGCCACCACCCACGGCGGGTGGCATAAACGAGCCTCAGGAATGCCCGTACTGCCGTCGCACGTTTTCGTGCTACTACTCCCTCAAACGCCACTTCCAGGACAAACACGAGCAATCGGATACGCTATACGTCTGCGAGTTCTGCAACCGTACGTACCGTACGAAGAACTCGCTGACGACGCACAAGAGTCTGCAGCACCGCGGTACCAGCGGCGTGCTGAGGCGGCTCCTAAAGGCCACAGCCATGAAGAATGTTTTCGGTAGCATGCAACACCAGATGCAGATGCAGCAACAACCGCAATGAAAACGTCGGAAAAACCAAAGTCTCCCTATGCTGGATCGTCCGCGTCGTCGTCGTCGTCGTCGTCGTCGTTGTTGCCGCCGTCGCCGCCGCTATCATCCTGCTGCTAACGTCGTCGTTCTTCGCGCGAATCGCTCGATTGATTGATTGACGTTATCAGGCATCACGTAATTCTAGAACCAAGGCCAGATTATCGAGAGGATACGAAAGTTACTACTTTGCGTACCCCAGGACACTCCCGTACTCAATTTAAGCTGCACTCTCAAGTCGGTTAGCTCGAACCACGTTTTATCAATCGCACCTCATTCTTAGGTCGCGACTTACATACAAAAATCGGTTAGCACAGATCATTTCTAAACAATTTTTCTAAATAACAGAGTGGATTATCGTAGTTATTTAACGGTGAGAGATTATCGATGCAATTTGTATTACGAGCTATAGTTGGATCGGAGTGAATTAGCAGCAACCTGGATTAACGAGATCTTGTTTCTCCCATCTACGCGCTGTATTTAGGTTTGTAATCCGCGGAAGAAGAGACTGCAAATCGCTAAATCGAGATTAGTAAACCCAGGAGCAATTTAGCTCTTGTTAAATTGCAACGAAGCCCTCGTAATTTCAACGATTAATTTACTCTTATTTACTCACATTCACGTAATGTCTGTTCGTGATCAGTTATCGTAAGACGTTAAACGAGAAAAGGATTAAAGAGAAGGGTGGAAAGCGGAGAGTGTTACATGAAAGCCCGAATCGCGGATAAGTCAGATAGAAATTTCGGCATTTTCTCCCAGTTTTCCCTCTCACTTTTCCATCCGACGAAAACAGGCGCGATTCTTCTTCTTAGTTTAGACTCGCCAACGTAGCGTGGTAATTTTTTTTTTTCGTCAAGACTGCAATAAATCCAAAGAAGGACAAATTTGACTGAGAAGTTTTGTAATTCGACTGAAACATAATGGAAGGGGAGGAGACTCCAAGGTTAGTTTAGTGCGCGAAGCAAACACACATTCCATTGTCAGCGATCAGGATGCTGATGACGCCGAATCAGTCAAACAGTCGACTGTCCGGCGAAATTTCAAGTGAAGAATCTATGTGTGGGATGCGTTTTCGAGGACGACATTATCCCGCCGCGAGCTTTTTTTTTAAGTTAACGTTTTCCAAAAAAAAAAAAAAAAAACGAACACTTAAGCGGAACGATTAGGGAGAGGTGTAGTTAAAACGAGAGGTTTGGGATGGATGGAAACAGTCTTCCGAAAATCATTTCCGAAATCGAATTTATGTTTACGGATGGAATTCTTCTGTATCGGCGCTCTCGAGACGCACGCTTAACGGTCTTCATGTAGACAAACGTATACGTCTATAGCTGTTCGAACCGGCCTCGTGTCGCGCCCTCGTGAACGAAATAATTCGCAAACGGTTGAGCTGGACACATCGCCCCGTTAGGTGAACGGACGATTTGAAACAGAGTTTCACGTGCTGAGAGACGCGGAGAGATTTGAAACGTCGAATTGCGGACGATCGGGCGAGAAACCGAGGGGACAATCATGAGAATCGTGAATGAGATCGGCAATCTGGCGTCGAAATATGTCCCGATTTGCATGCGTGTTACATACACGCGCGTGCATGCCAAATGCACTTTCACGCGACCGTATCGCGAATGCGCCGAGGTCGTTTATACACACAAGCATATAATATTATATATATATATATATCTCGATTCTCAATGAGGGGAGGGGGGTTGAGGGACAAAGTGAACGTTAGGCCTAAAGGCGAAACGAATCGCGAGGATGCACCGACGCGTCCGAAACGCGTGCGAAAGTGATGCCGATTGGTGAAAAGTGATCGCGGCGGCAATCGAGGTCGAGAGGTGTTGTGGAGCTCTTCGATTAGCATAGAAGGGGGCGGGATCGGCGCGAGACGAGAGAGAAGAGAAAGGCAGAGGAGCGTGTAGGTGGTAGACGCGGAGGTGGTAGAGATATATCATGGGTTCTTAACGTGTATATGTAGATTCGTCGTATGCGCTAAATACAAACTATATTTTTAACTCTTTAAAAGTAATATTTTGAGCTGTAAATATATTATATTCGTACGATACATCGATAAACGATGATATTCTCCTGTTCAAATTTTATAAAAATCGGCATAGTCCTACGTAGGCATGTCTCACGGATGAGCGGAGCAGTGCTAGGGAGCTTAAAACTCGTTTCCTAATTACCTTTTGCATTTTTAGCAAGCATTTAAAACTATATCTTTATATAACGTAAGTTACTTTTTTTTTTTTTTTTTTTTTAATAAAACCAAAAAACTCAGCCAGGTTAATTAAGCCAAGGAAATTGTTTCGTTTACATTCCGTTACGTTCTCCGTTATGTTGCAAAGTGATTTCCGAACAAATCGATCTCTAAAACGGTCCAAGTAGCCTCGATTCGCGAGAGATTATGAAGCACTGCTCCGCTCCTCAAATTTTAATATATCCACATTAACAAATGTACAAGCAAGAGGAAACCCTAAAAAAGTTGTTCATCGTAACATATTCAGGTTTAAAACTCAGCGTAGAGAACGAGAAAAATGTTGATGTTTTATCTGTAAGGCGAAAAAGGAAATGCCATAATAATTAACGAGCAAGTACAAATTATCGTGAAAAAAAATATAAATTATGTCTACGTCTTAACTTTTAGGATGCGTAGTATCGGAAAGGGAATATTTAACGCGCGGAGGCGCGTAATAAGGGGAAAACAGAGAAAGAACGGCTGGAAAGGACACAGCTTGCCTCGAATTTCATTCGTGGCCGAGTAGTGATGAAAAAGATTGAACGGGAAAAGAGAAAGAAGAAAATGCGCGGGAGAGAAAAGGGTAAGGGTAAGCACGAGTTTCCAAACATATCTTCGAAGTGTGAAGTATACTGTGAAAAATATACGATTTTAGATATTTAGCTATCTCTATACCCCGAGAGAGAGATTTTATAATTATTACGTATACATTCTTAAATCGGTGGACCGATTCTCGATCGGTGACGTTTGGCCAAGGCATAATGTGGAGGGCACTATAAATGCGGCTCGAGATCCGCGAGATTTTACATTCTTGTCTTTCTTCTCTCTTCCTTAAAAGAAGAAAAAAGTCACTTTTTTTAGCTAAAGATGCGCGATTGGTTAGCGGAAAAAAAAAAAGAAAAGAAAATTTATCCTAGTCATTCCGGAAATTTTTGTAATTCTGTGATATCGGGGGATCGTGGCATCAAACGATTCGACGAAAAGAGAGAGACTAAAAAAGTGTATGTCTGTCCACATTATGATCGCCGGGCGTACTTTTTAAAAACTCTTCCAGCGCGCGCGCGCACGCGACGGAGGAAAGGAAATTGATAATTGATTAACTAATGTCGGGAAATTTCTGTGATGTTCTTCGGTTGGTATACTAGCGCGACTGAGCTATATGAATGGAAAAAAAAAAAGTATACGGAATTTATGTCGATGTTCGGTGTTGTACGCTGTATTGTAAGAGGCGAGACTGTATCGGGAAAAATTTCATCATATTGCTTTGAAATTTTCGAGATGGGGTGGGGATAAGAACGGGGTGTCGGGCAACCGCTGATCAATTTATCAATCTGAAAGAAAAATGCGTTGTACTATATTACGACACGAGTAACTTTACGTTTAAAATCCGATTATATAATATTGGGAGTACAAATTAGTTCGGTCCGTTTTCCAAAATTTTTTTCGAGATGGAATTCGAAAATTGCCTGAGAGATGGGAAAAAGTAAGTAGCCAGCGATGGACAATACTTTGATTAATTCATTTTGTTTTGAAATAAATGCATTTTTGAACACAAAAAACGGACCGAACTAATTTATACACCCAATATTTATTAATTGATCGGTGAAAAGAGCGATTTGATCGGCAACCTCGATCGTTCTTCTTTCATATTTGTCTGAAATTTCATAGACACGTGTATGAAATTCGAGCAATATATTTTTCTCGTCACTTCGTACGATAAGTACATTTGGTATGACGCACGAACGATCAACTGTTGCCACTCATCGCCTGATAGACTTTAGTCTAGTGTAAACGTCTAGTAAAGTTCGCACACGCGTGATGGGTGGATAAGTACGCGCGCACGAGTGTGTGTGTGGCTGTCTGTGTGCTCGTTCACATGCACGTCCGCATGCACACGAGGCACGTAACTGCTGCAGGGTAAACGACCCATTACACGCCGACGCGAGCGCGAGAAAAAAAAAAAAAGAGGAAAACAGAATGACCGTAGATTATTTATCGGAATGTGCCAAGGTCTCTCGAACCGTTTACACGGACGAAATTTTAGGTAGGTATACGCGCCCCGTCTCTCCCGTCGAGGTGGAATATTATCAATACTAATCGTTTTAGAATATATCTGAGGTACGATTTAAAAAAAAAAAAAGTGGAAAATTATCGTGGAAACCTTTTGGGATTTTTAATGTGTATGGAACTTTTCGTCTTGTACCGTTTATCTTGTAAGAGGGGAAAGAAATTGAAATCTTAAGGGAAGGTGTGAGACGCGGCGAGAATGTAATATTATATTTTCGATTTTATCCGTTACGTTACTTTCCGCTCGCATCCTGTGTGTAACTCGTGCGTGTACGCCGGCATACTCGTGCTTGAGAGGTGTATAAAGAACCGCGCGCATTTCCGAATGCGAGCGAGGGCCGAGGATCGACTATAATTTTACACCCTAACCGTGCAAACCCAGCAGGATTTATTATCGCGGCGGTTGGGTTGCGATGCGTGTGTTGCTTCGCGGACCGCACGGAGAGACCGCAGCATCTCTCTGCGGTCCACGCGGTCGCTGTTCACTTAGTTACGCGTTTTCGCGCGACTCGCCTCTCGACCGGCGACAAAATGGTGCAATCTCATCGTCAGCAGGCTAAACGCCCCATATCGTATAGCCGTATTTCAAAGCAGGACCGTTCTTCCGGTGCGTTCACATCCTGGTGTTCGCCATATCCGCACACATTTATTAACCGCTTCCTTCTGACCTGTTAAAAAACCTACTTCTAAGTTAGTCACCCATTCTTCGACGAACGGGTTCTTCGGCGTAATTCGAATCGATATAACTGAAGAGGTCAAGTTTACTTTCTGGCGCTGTGACGAATACTTTGATACGCGAATTTACTTTTGAGAAGGCTGATTTTGTAACGTTTAATCGTCAATTTATTTAAAGACTCAAATTTATTTCTATTAGTTTCCTCGTTCTTCTTAATTCCTATTTTTAGAGGAACTGACTGATTAGATTTTCTGTTTTTTTTTTTTTTTTTGATTGGTTTAAAGTTTTCTTTTATTATGTGATATTATATTACCAAAGAGCATCGAGAAAACTTTACAAGATTTTCTCTGACGCGAGTGGTATTTACCTTGGAAAGTACAGAATCGCAAATGTCGCATTTATAACACATCGATAAGTTCCATCAAAATTTTGCCGATTATTTTTGTTTATTTTATCATAAATGAAACGCAACTTTTTGGTTTGTATTAACTGAAAAACCGATACTAAATTGACAATAGCGATTCGGAAAATTCTAGCTGGAAATATCACGAGGTCCGAGAATGTTGTAAATCGATTGTTTAGGAACAGTCTTCGGTTTTAACGAAAAGAGAAAATAAATTTTTATTTCCAAAAAGGGGGATCAAACGAAACTATAAAAGGAAAACAAAGAGAAATGAGAAGTACATCAATGCTAATCAATAAAACGAAATAACAATGTAATTATATGAAATTAAAGAAAAAAAAAAAGAACGTCGTACATAGGAGAAAGACTACTTAGATTTATTTTTATTATGTCTTCTAAAAGACTTTAAATAAAATATTTAAATTGTGCCATAATTAATATTAACAAAATCTTAAGTATAAATTTATTGTTACGAAAGTTTTTAAATTTATCGGAAGAAATGAAAATTACAAAAAAAAAAAGATGAAAAGAAATGGTAAAACGCTAAGAAAATATCATTACTGTCTATGGGTAACTAATAGTTCTTAGAGAAGAAACGTCGTGTCAGTTTAATGACGATTGTCGTATCAACAAGAGAACCTAGAATTAATAACGGTTGGTTATTTACGCTCAATATAACTAAGAACTTACATAATATGGATCTTTTCTACTTGTACCAAAAATTTTATTGCTAGCTGTCGACTTTGTTTTCTTTTTTATGTAC